GCCCGGCCGGGTGGAACGGGGCCGGCAGGAAGGTGAGAGCGGGGCCTGTGAGATGGGCGGGCCAGTGAGGAGAAGAGGGCCCGACCGGGTGGAACGGGGCTCCGGGAAGGTGAGGACCGGATGAGGATGGGGGCGGGGCCGGCAGGAAGGTGAGGGCGGGGCCTGTGAGATGGGCGGGCCAGTGAGAAGAAGAGGGCCCGACCGGGTGGAACGGGGCCGGCAGGAAGGTGAGGGAGGGGCCTTGAGATGGGGCGGGGCCAGTGAGGAGAAGAGCGCCCGGCCGGGTGGAACGGGGCCGGCAGGAAGGTGAGGACCGGATGAGGATGGGGGCGGGGCCGGCAGGAAGGTGAGGGCGGGGCCTGCATATTGGTGGCAGAGGGGCTCTGGGGCGTGGCCAGTGGGTGGGGCGGGGCCTGCGGGGCGAAGCCACTTCCCTTTCTCTTTCTCAATTTGCCCCTTCATTCCCAGGGTCTCAATGAAGCCCCTTTCTGAGACTTCCTCCTCTCCAACGCCTGTGTTACTCAAACTCTGAGGAAGGCGGAAAGGCTGTGACAAGCAACGCCTGGGCTCTGTCTGAACGAAACGTAGCACCTTAACAGTGACCGGGATAGCGGCCCCGCCTTTTACAGCCGGGGCCAGACAGTCCGGCGGGTTGCCTGCCACCCTGCGGGTTGGAGTCAGCAGCAGCCGGGCACGGTTTTGCCACTAAGCCAAGCTACCAGTAAGAACCTTGCAGCGTAGCTGGCATGTGAACGGGTACTCGTCTCGACTTAGGTTTTAAAGTGTTGGCTCCTGTGCCGGTGGTGAGTGTATTATCTCCAGCTCCCGTGCGTACTCATTTCCTGCGCTGCCGGATGGAGCCAGGCCCTCTGAGCATCCCTCCCTCGCCAGGTGGCCCGGGGTCCCAGAGCGGTGCAAAAGGAACCGCTGGGAGGCAGTGCAGGAGGAGAGGGCTTTGCTGCCTGGCTCCAGGGAGTTCCCTTGGCAGGCACCTGCAGAATCTCGTATTCTTCAGAGTTTTCTTTCCTTTTACTAGCCAATCCCTTGTTACCCCAACCCCCTATTATACTTAACAATTCTTTATAGTCAACCTTTCCTGTACCCTGTTTCTGTCTTCTGATTGGACCCTATTTGATAGTCTCAAGCACCCCCAAAGGTATTCCAGCCCCTTCGGCACATCAAGCAGAGGTGGGGGAAATTATCTTTCACTCTACCATCTGCACTCATTTAGCAGCAACATCCCCGCACACAAACGAGGCAGTGCATCTGGCCTTTAGTCTCCCACCACAGCACGAAGGCCTGATAGTCCGGGTCTCCCACTCATGTACATATTTCGCACTCGGCAGTGCAGCCAAGAACACTACTAACTCCTCTTAGCCTGTGTTTTAGGAAAAGCCCACTCTCCTCCTGTGTCTCCTTTCCTCTTACATGGCTAGCACTCCCTCAACACTTCCGATACCAGATGTGTGAGGGTTTTCCCCACACCAAGCAATTCTGTGACATCAGCTGGGTGTCCCACACTTTAACTCACTCTGGCACCATCTACCCAGAGATGGCATTGGATCCCACGGGTTGAGGGCTCAGTCCCACAAGAACCCCCCCACACACACACTTCAGATGCCTACAGCAAGTCCAAGTTGTTACCTGTGCTTCGGACTAATTGGCTATGAATCGGGGTTCCCATGATCCTCCCTGCTAGAGCGGCTCACAGAACTCGGGAGAAGAGTTTACTGTTTATCGATTTCTTATAAAAGGGTACAGGGAAACATCCTGGTGGAAGAGATACCGAGGGCAAGGTGTAGGGAAGGGCACATGGAGCTTCCATGCCCCTCGGGGTATGCTATTTTACCACTACCTCCACGTGCTCACCAACCCAGGAGCTCTTTGCTCCCCCATACTATTGGGGAAATAACGAGCACCGACCAATGAAAACAAGCAAAGGCTATTTGTCCAGAGCCTGCTATAATGAGGGAGTCACTGCCTCCCTTGGTTTGGCAGAGGCCCAAAGGCAGGCAGAGATGCGGAGAGATTCATGGCAGAAAAAGGGGGACTCAGGGGTGCCCTGATGGGGGCTGTGGGCCTGAGGGAGCTAGAGGTAAGCTAGGTAGACGTGGGGCATCCCATGTGTTTATTGTTCTCTGAGTTGGAACAGGGAACAAAAGTAGGTAAGATGTCAATTGTTGACCGAGTGCTGGTACATCTGGCTTATGTGGATTGTGATGGGGCATTGTGTGGCTTCCTGGTCGTCACTAGACACAGCAGTCTGAATTCCAGCAGTCGGCTTCCTGGGCAGGCTTCTGTGGAGGTGGGTTTGGTTTCTGGGCAAGCCACAGCAGGTCACGGGCCTGTTTCTATAAACGGTCTGGCCACTGTCCAGGTGTATATTCAGTTTCTCAGAATCAGCACTGATGAGGCAGCTGCAGGGTTAACGGGAAACAGCATTTCTCCCAAGGTCACACCTCAGCTGTAAAGTGTCCTGAGGGCCTCCTTCTTCTTGCCAGAGCCCCCTCTGTGGCCCCAGCTCATGAACAAAAATGACTGGGCCCGGGGTGCCTGGGTGGCTCAGTCGGTTGAGCATCTGACTCTTGGTTTCAGCTCACATCATGATCTCAGGGTCATGAGATCGAGCCCTGCAACAGGCTCCAAGCTCAGCGGGCAGTCTGACTGAGAGTGTCTCTCCCTCTGCCCCTCCCTCCAAAAAAGACTGAGACCCAATTACTAAGTTGTCTGCACTTCATGACAGCAAGGATCTAAAGCTGACCCTCACTTCTCCTCCTCAGAATTATTCAGTGCAGGGGCGCCTGGGTGGCTCGGTCATTAAGTGTCTGCCTTCGGTTCAGGTCATGATCTCAGGGTCCTGGGGTCGAGCCCCGCATCGGGCTCCCTGCTCGGCGGGAAGCCTGCTTCTCCCTCTGCCTGCCGCTCCGCCCCGCTTGTGTGCACGCTCTCTCTCTCTGACAAATAAATAAAATCTTTTTTAAAAATAATCTTTAAAAAAAAAGAATTATTCAGTGCAATCCCAAATCTTACAAAATTCCCTATCTACTCTCGTGATGAGACACACCCAGATTTCTCTAGGGTTCCCTCTTTGCAGCAGATTAATAAACCAAACTTTGTTGGATGCCTGGTTTGTCCCTGGTGGACCTAGCTGTTGGTTTTTTTCACCCAGCTCAAGTATCACCTCTTCCACTAAATCTTTGGATGCAATTTTTCCCTCCTCCAGCCCCAGAGCACTTTTTTGCATGTCCTGATGCTAGAGTTAACCATGTTAGGACATTTTCTCTACTAGACTGTCAGGTCCTTTAGAGACTGTGTGGGATTCCTCTTTGTATCCAAGAAGTTCTAGCGAGACAAATGACACACACCTGACCAGACTAAGATGGGAGGGCACTGAGGTTACCTAGACAGGGTTTCACACAGATGCCTTCCCACTAGACTCGAGTTTTCAAGAAAGCCCTGAACAACTGAAGATTTATCCTCAATTGGCCTGCTCAAAGATAGTTTTCCCCAACTCACATCTTGGCTAGATTCCAACTACTTGGTGTGGGGTTTGTTGTTGTTGTTGTTGTTTGTTTGTTTTTAGTGAATCTTTTCCCTGTTCCCAAGGCTGGGAAGTCTTTAGTGTTTTCTTTCTTGTCCCTCTCGCCCATCCACTATCTCCCTCATGAGAACAAAATAGCTAGCAAATAACTAACTAGATGTCTCTGAGTTGTTGTTGTTGTTTTTTAAGATTTTATTTATTTATTTGAGAGAGACAGATAGTGACCGAGATAGCGAGAGAGAGAGAGCAAGAGAGAGCATAAGCAGGGAGGAGAGGAAGAAGCAGGCTTCCCACCGAGCAGGGAGCCAGATGTGGGACTCGATCCCAGGACCCTGAGATCATGACCAAGCGGAAGGCAGATGCTTAACGACTGAGCCACCCAGGCGCCCCAGAAGAGCTTTTTTCTAAAATGATAATAAAATTCATTAGAGATGGGAAGATGCTCCATGGAAATTTTTTTCCAAGTAATAAGAAAGGGTGCCAAAATATCAAAAACCGCATAATCAAAGCTCAGTTGCATTGTACAGGGAGGCTGCATGAGATGGACACAGAGACAGACCTCTCAGCAGTTCTTAACTATCAGACTATCGGAAAGAACTTTCTCCAAATCCACATCTCAAAAGAATAACTCCATTATTCTTCCAAGCCAACTGGGATATATGCCTGAAAAGAATATTAGCAATTTGGCTCTGGAAGAATACCTAGTTACAGCCAAGGAAACACCAAAGTACAGCCCGCAGGGTCTCCCACAGGAGGCCACACAGCATGGCTGTGCTTCTGAGGAGGCATTATAATCTAGAGCTGGTTTGGCCCTTCATTGTGTACAGGCCTGGAAACTAGAAGTTACAAATTCATTGAGAATTCACTCGATGTATTTGAAGAAATTCTTTTCTTCATTAAGCAAGTCAACCCGTTGGATTTATCATGGACACAGCGTGGTATGAAGTGCTGCATGGCATGTGTCAAAAAACAACTCAGAGGGGTGCCTGGGTGGCTCAGTCGTTAAGCGTCTGCCTTCAGCTCAGGTCATGATCTCAGGGTCCTGGGACTGAGTCCCGCATCGGGCTCCTTGCTCAGCGGGAAGCCTGCTTCTCCCTCTGCCCCTCCCCCTGCTTGTGTTCCCTCTCTCACTATGTCTCTCTTTGTCAAATAAATGAGTATCTTTGAAAAAGAAAAAAGCTCTTCTCTTTCAGTCCTGGGGGAGCCCAACTTTTTGGGTCACAAATATACACCCTCACAGCCATACCCTGGCCCTCCATAATCCATAACCATGTGCCTTCCTGGTTCTCTTTATCTCATGGCAGAGTGTCGGGAGACAAACAGCACTGAAGTCAGCTAGAACAACCTGCACCAAGCCCTAGCCTTGTTAACCTCTTTGGCTGAATGTTATTTTCCATGTTATCAATCTGGAAGTAATATTCCTGCCCGGTCTCAAGAGATTTAATAAAATATGTAATTGGATTTGTATACTCTAAAATGCTCGAATGATTTTTTTTTTAAAGATTTTATTTATTTTTTAGAGAGCGAGCGAGAGAGAAACAGCATGAGAGGGGAGAGGGTCAGAGGGAGAAGCAGGCTCCCCGCCGAGCCGGGAGCCCGATGTGGGACTCGATCCCAGGACCCTGGGATCATGACCTGAGCCGAAGGCAGACGCTTAACCATCTGAGCCACCCAGGCGCCCCGCTCGAATGAGTTTAGCAGGTGCAAAATGAGTTTCAAGTACTGCTCGGCTTCTTTACCTACAGAACAAGTTCTCGCCTTCCTAGCCTGATACTCAAGACCCTTGACCCTTGAGTGTGTAGTCCTTGCCCACCTCTCCTCTCGGAGAACACCCTGCCACCCTACAACGCTTCACTGTGTCTCCAACAAGCTGCACCTTTCCAGCTTCAATACCTTCCCTTGTGGGTTCCTCCGCCGGTGGGGGTGGGGGGGATCGAATTAAAACCCAAATCTCCTCCCAGCCCAGACGACCTCTCCACAAAGGCAGAAAAGAAGATACTTTTATTAAACCAGAAAGTGATGCGCATCCCGGGCAACCCGCTAAAGGGATGCGAGGGCAGAGCGCAACCTCGCTGTCCGACGGGGCTCGACGAACCCAGCCCCGCGGAGGGCGGGGGCCCTTAACCAGCCGGGACACGGGGCGCCCGCGGGGCCGCCAGGGACGCGCACTAGTCCGCAGACGGCAGTGCAGCGGAGGCCCCGGCGGCGCGCGCCCCGACGTGAACGCGGCAGCCGGCTCTCCGACCGGCCCCCCTCAGCCGTTAGGGGACTTCCGCCCGCGTCCCCCCTGCGGTCGCGCGCGCGCCCGGCGCCCGCGTGACGTCACTGCGGCCGGCTTCCGGGGGGCTGCGTGATGACGCAGCGCGCGGGTGTGCGTGGGGGTTCCATGTGTCTCCGCCGGCAGGCCGCTTCGGGGCGGCGCGGGCATCCGATGCCGAGACCCAATTACTAAGTTGTCTGCACTTCATGACAGCAAGGATCTAAAGCTGACCCTCACTCTCTCATGTACTCTCTCTCATTCTCGCTCTCTCAAATGAATAAATAAATCTTTAAAAAAAAAAAAAAAGATGCATACGTTTCAGTGTATATAAATTTTACAGCAAAAGAAACTGTGAACGATATTGCACTCCTGCTACGGATAGGCATG